GATAAATGATCAGCAGATCCCAGGCTTCCTGCCCTGTGAGCTCACTTGTTCGTAGTTTTTGTTCTTAAATATAAATAGGAAAAGGTTGGTGGAGGTTGGGGTAACTTTTAAGACAAAACAAATTTAATCTAAAGATTAAATGAAGATATACCTAGGTAAGATAGTTTACCAGGGAAGGATGGGAAAGTTCTAGAATTAGGCAGAGGTGGAGGTTTCACAGTATAGTGAGTACACTAACTGCCCGCTGCCCTGCTCTTTTAGGGTCTTAGAGGCTTGCATAGATGTTGTATATTTTTAAATGTGTACACCTGATGTTGAATATAAAGATAGCCAAAATACGGCTGTGGGTTGTTTGTATTGCACATGGTCTCTACCTCCCTCTCTCTCTCTCTCTCTCTCTCTCTCTCTCTCTCTCTCTCTCTCTCACACACACACACACACACACACCACTTGTTCCACCTGTGGGCGGTGTCCTCCCTAGGCTGGGCCCTTGCCCTTCTTTGCTAGTCTTGGGAGGTCCTGTCCCTTGGGGCCCTTCGGGTGCTCTTGTTGAGTGCTTGTGATGCCACTTGATGGATAACAACACTGCCATATCCGCTCCAGTCTGTGAACACCAATCTGCAGGCCTGGGGGCTGGGGCTTCTTTTAAAGTTGGCTGCATTCAAAATCCCTAAGCATTTCCTCATCTGAGGTCTGACTGCTGGTCTCATTAAACAGTAAGTCACATAGGCTGGGGCCACTGACCTGTCCCACCTCATCAACATCTATTTCCCTTGATCCTTTAGAAAGAAATCATAGTTTATTCTCTGGGAATGGTTGCTAGGAGATCACCTGATAAATAGATGTGATTAATAAGGAATTAAATTAATGTCACCATTCAGCTGACAATAGGGACAAGCATCCAAACATTGGGTGTTTGTGCCCTGGGGCCTGTATGTGCATGCATATAATTGTGCATGGTTATGTGTATGTGCTTCTGTGCTTGTGTACTTAAGGCTACAAACACATGTGCCTGCCTGTTTGTATGTACACATGTACACATGTGCTTGTGTGTATGCATGTGTGTATATGTACACACCCCACCCCCACCCATCTTGTGGACCTGGGAAAGACCTCCATGGAAGAAAGGAAAGGATGGAAGACAGATATGCCACCCTCTATGCCATGGATGCAAATTGGGGTTTTATATACTGTAGAAGCTTTAATGCCCTGGGGGGCCCCATTTCTCAAAGAAGTTCTTTAGAGTATATGTTTGCAGACTGCTTTATAATGTGAATAATCATTTCCTAATTCCCATCTGGAAAATTAATCTTCTGGCATCTCAAAATGTGGCACAGAGTTTTGGAAACAGGGCGGCAGCTAATATCTGGCTTAGCACTTGAAAACAGGCCTGAGTGGATTGGTCAAGTCAATCATGGTATGTCAGTAAAATAACATTCTTATGAAAATGGAAGTGAACACCAGCCTATATGTTCCTGAAAATACGATTAAACAGCAGTGACAACAAAAACAGGCTACAAGATGATATTCATAGCATGATCCAATTTTTGCACAAATGAATTCTGCAAACCTTTCTGTGTAAAAGATACCTGGGAGACTGCACACACCAGGCATAAACCCTGCTGGTTTCTGACAGTGGGGCTGTGGGTGTGTTTGGTCTCTTCCTTTTTCTTGTCTATAATTTTTTCTTTTCTTTTTTGCAGTACTGAGTATTGACCCCAGGGCCTTTGCACTGAGCCACATCCTAAGTCCCTTTTTATTTTTTATTCTGAGACAGGGTCTCACTAACCAGGCTGAGCTCAAACTTGACATCTCCTCCCTCAGCCTCCCAGAGTACTGGGATCACAGGTGTGTGCCACCATCTCCATCTCTCCTGTCTGTATTTTCTATGAGGAACACCTGTAACATGTGCAATAATAAAAAGGTAAAAAGAGTGAACTTTAACTTGAAAGGAAAAACATCCATCTTACTGAGGGTCTCAGACCCCCTTAATGCCAGGGAAAGGATGACATGGGGTCATCTGGAGAATGGAAAAAGGAAGACAAGCCAAGGGCCCACTGTTCTTGGTCCTGACTCTCAGGCTCCTGGAAGGTGCTGGTGGCACTTGGGTGACAGCAAGGAGGGTCTGCTCCACACATGTCCTGCCCCTGCCTGTGGGAGAGCCGAAGGAAATTCCTCCCTCGCTCCAGCCTTCCCTCACCACTTCCCCCAGTGGGCCACACAGTCACCTGCTTGTGCATGAGTAGGGGACGGGTAAAGTCCCTGAGTGCTTCTGCTTGTGGGTGACGCTGACTGGAGAAAGGTGGGAGGGCCCCAGTGACCCAGGCAGGACCAAAAGCATCACTTTGGCTGTTATCATCAATCACCTGCCCTTGCCTGATGGTGGCCCCTGGTGGCTCAGATGGACGAAGCAAGTGCTGGTGAAGGGTTCGGGCCAGTGCGGGTGAGGGAGGCTTAGCCTGCGACAGTTAAGCTGGATAGTCAACTTGATTGGCTTAAGGAGCACACTACTGGCTATGCCTGGGTGGGGCATGGAGGCATGGCTTTGGGGTCCATATCTGGTCCCTTGTCCTCTCCTCTCTGGCACTGTCTTGCTGCTCCGCTTCCAGCCACCATGAATGGAGCATCTTTCCTCTGCATGCCCTCCCTCCAGGATGCTCCTGCCTTGGAGCCTGCCTGAAACTTCTGAAACCTGAGCCACATAGACCTCTTCTCCTTTAGGTTGTGGGTGCTGGGTACTTTGTCCCTGGGACAGGAAGGCTGACAAAGATGCAGATGGAGTGGCCTGGCTGTCACAGCTGTTATGGTGAAACACCGTAAGTGTGCAGTTTGGTCAGTTTTGAATCATTTTTTTCCCTTTCCATCTCACCCAATTCCACAAAATCAAAACAGATAAGAAACCCTGAGTCTGTCCACAGACCACCAGAAAATCCAAAGCTCTGCAGAGCTACATCATGGGGCTGTCTCTTGGCTTCAGACACACGAATCCCTGCCCCTGTTGTCTGAGAAGCTCAGGTCCTGTTCCTGATGGCTGCTCTGGACAGCGTGTGATGGGGATCTTTGCAGTGTGCCCTGAACTCAGCATAGCGGGGAAGCCTTTGGAGAAGCCACCCAGGATCCTTCTCTCCCTCCTGGCCCCACTCCCACTTGGCCTATGTGGACTACAGAGGGTCCGGTCAACCACACAACTCTGAGCTAAACAAACTCCTGAAAGGGCAAGGAACCTCCACTGGGCTCTTTCACAGAGTGAAACTTAGAAGGTCTTTCCATTTTCTCAGCTCAAATTCCCTCTATTCTGGGCAAACAGTGTCCCTCCAAGGAGGCAGGACAGCCAGCACTGAGAGTCAAGGCCTCAGCATCCAGGGTGCTGTAGCATCCAGGGTCCACCCTGGGGTAGTGGCTATATTCTGCCACCACTGGCCACCCTGCCAAAGCACAGCTAGGGTCCTTTTTCATAAAAACACTAACATCCACAGTCTGCCTTCATTTCTAAAGGGAAGTGAATCAAAAGCCCCCCTCAGAGAACCCTCTGACCCAGGGTTTTTGGGTAGCAGGCTGCCATGACCAGGTATCCCAGACAGAAGTCTGGGCTCTGCCAGTCAGGAGCTGGGTGGCTGTGCCCTGCCTGAGCCACTAGGAGCATCCACACATGCACCCTTCTGAGAGGCAGTGAGATGGATTTGGGATGGTCCCCAGAGGAACCATACCAGTCCAGGCAGCCCACATTCTATGCTGAATGCCCTGGGTCCATGCATTTGATGCTCTTGCTGTTCAGCTGACCATGTGAACTGGTGCAAATGGGACAGACATATATATGCCTGCCTCAGAGAGCTTCCTTGTCCTCAGCTCTGTTCCTGGAGCTCTGTTCTCTTCCCATCAGTGTTTAACTCAGCAGCTAAGGCCAAACGGTCCCTGCCACAGGCCCAGCAGCAGGCAGGGGACCAGAGAGGGCTCTTGCTTAGCTTTACTCCAGGGCCACCTCCTGCACTACCTTCTGAAGAAAGGCCACAGGCAAGATAAATGGAGAAGGGGTGCAAGCAGCAGGGAAGCATGAGAGAGAAGAGGATGCCCCCCATCATGCAGCCATCAGGTGGACAGAGTCCCCAGTGTACCCCACCTGGGAGGTACCTCTTCCTGCAGACCAGCTCCAGGGACCGGGAGCAAGTTTGTGGCTTGGGCTCTGGCATCTGTCAGCAGCAGGATGAAAGGCTGGGTGCAGGGAACCCTCACCTTGCTGGGGCCCCATCATCCAGGACTCTTGCAGAGCCTGGGAGAGTCTGGCCCCAGGCCCTCTGACAGAGTTTTCTTTTATATTTATTAACCCACTTTCTCTCTTGGCATTCAGAGCAAGGAGGAAACCTCAGCCAGAGCTATGAATAGGCCAAGGCGGTCCCCGGGGAGCAGAATGAGCTCATGCCTACAGCACAGGTGCCAAGTGCAATAAAGGTTCCCGGCTGGGCTGGACCAGGCTGTGGCCACTTCGGGGAGTGGAGGGGACACCTCAGCTGAGCCCAGGACCGTCTTCCCTCTTGCTGCTCAACCTGGCCACCTGGGCCCCAGCCAGGAACAGAGCTTGCGGTCACATGGAGTTATTCCACCCTAGGTCAGACCTGATGGGAGCCACTGAGGAGGAGGCGGGGGAGGGATTGGCACAATGACATGGAATATAAATGACTCCTGTAAACAGAGAGTTTAATAAAAAGGCAGTGAGGGAATTTATGGGCAACCCAAGGATAATTAAAATTATTTATCTACTTACCTCCCTTGCTGGCTGATCAGTCTATTAATTATCTATTATACACCCACTGATTTGCATTTTAGTAAGGGGATTGGGTAAGGGCAGGTGAAAAACACAGAGGAGTTGGGGTATCAAGTATTGGGGGCCTATGTGGACCCCCTGCTGACACCTGTTCACACATCACTCCCCATGCCACTGCCTCCTCCAGACCCCAAGAGCCAACTAGGGCCAAGCAGAAAGCCCCACACAAAGGGGTACGTACCTGTGTGCAGGAGGGGTGCTCTTGGAGGACAGGATCCCACAGAGGAGCCTGCAGACCAGCTCCAGGGAAGGCCGGCAGGATTTCCTCCAGCGGTTCTGACTTCACGCTGCATTTTAAAAAAGAAAACAAGAGAACAAAATCATTTTCAATCTCGGAATATCTGGAATGCATCAGACACACGCCGTCCCTTGCTCTTGATTAAAAATATCACAGGACCGAGTGTCATGGGAACCGTGTCTTTTGAACGCTGCAAATGAGAGAATGTTAGGCGGGGAGTTTTAACAAGGTGGCTCTGTCTACCACCAAGCATGTAAAGGATGCTCTGCGCTGTGGCTCTGGGTACTGCAGGTGACATCTCATGTCAGAAGCAGTGCTGGGCCAGAGGGCTGGGGTGCTGATGGGCAAGAGGGTCAGCTGGCCAGGGTGGACCACAGGTGGGATGGCTCACATTTCCAGGGCTCGAGATGGGTCAACTCTCCTCCTGCACCCACAGAGCCCTCTTGGGGCAGAATCCCCAGTATCACCCTGATGTCAGTGCTTGTTCCAGTCACAGGCCTCCAATCCAAGGAAATGTCAAGCCTGTAGGGTTGACAGACCCTCAGGGTGCAGTTTGTCAGGCTGCCCACCCACAAACCTGCCAGCATCAGCACAGCCTCCTCCTTTGCCCTGAGCCTCTGATGGGTACCTCTGATCGCTAGCTCTCCATGAGACACAGGGGCGCAGGGCAAGGTCAGGGAGAGACTGACCTCTGCCTCTCTAAATCTCACTGGAACAGAGTTTGCACATGGGCCCCCAGGATGTGATGGGCTATAGGGATGGTTCTCACGACAGGACTGGTGCTCTTCTTAGAAATCCCCCCACTCTCCCCGTGTGAGAACACATCAGATCTGCTGGCACCTTGACTGGGACTTCTTAGTTTGCAGAACTCTGAGAAGTAAATATTCACTATTTAAATCCCTTCATGCATGGTATCTGTGTCACCCTGTCTCCCTTTCTCTTCCGTCCTTCCTTGTCGTCCATGAGGACAGCCCCCAGCAGCTGTCTGTTCTCAGCTTCCACACGGGTGGTTGCTGCCCCCGCTGGGGCTCTCTGCAGAGGAAGCCTGCTCTGCTGTTCCAGTGTGACAATAACAAGCCCCCACCAATGCTGCCACAACTCCCACCCCACAGGTCATCAAAGACCAGTGAAAGTGAGTGGCCTGTCTCCAATGAGACGCACCACAACATGGTGCCCTGTTCTCAAGAGTTCACTGCCGCCTGGGCCCGTTTGCTGCAACCTTGGTATTTTGGGGAATTTCATGCTCTTTTTTTGGTGTCCTGTTGGCAAGGCCATGGTTCCAAGTGGCCCCACCAGACAGGAATCTAGGTTTTGCTTTGATAGTATTTAGTAATTGGGTTTAACATTTAGAGTTGGTTCACTTTAGTAACAATGAGCTCTACCCTGGGGATTGTAGCCCCAACCCCTGCCTGAGGTTATAGCCTGTGTCTGCGTCACAGATGTCAGGCATGGTAGCCCCCACAATTGCATGATCCAGGCCATAAAATCAGCCTATCTGTCCATACATCTGTCTATCCATCCATCTATCTGTCCAGCCGTCTACCCACCTATTTCTCCATCTGTTCATGCATCCATCCACCCTCCCATCCATCCATCCATCCATCCATCCATCCATCCATCCATCCATCCATCTGGCTTCTTCTATTAGCTCTATTTATTGAGCCTATTGAGTCTTCTTGGGCCCCTCCCAGATTAGACTCCTAGAGTTGACCTTGCTCATCAACAGAACCCAAAATACCCCTCCTCCATGTTTGGCCCTGCACCCCATTCTTGCTGGGAAGGGGAGCAGTGCCTCAGTAGTAGCAGCAAAGTGGGAGGAGGAAGGAAACAGCAAGGGGCTACAGGTCTACCTGAGGACAAGGACTGCATAGTCACAAATGGGGAACCTGCTGGCTGTCCTGAGTCTATGTGAAATCAGGCGGTCTGTGTTGAGGCTACCCCAGCCCCAGCTTCTGCTCAAGCCTCAAAACCCTTCCCCATCAGGGCTGGGCTGCCTGAAGCTGCAGGACAGTTGTGTCCAGCCCCCTTCTGTGTCCCTACCGGCCCCTCCTCCCCTTCCTGGCTATCGCTTCTCAATTCTGATGATGTATCAATAACTGCAAAGCAAAATGCCACAGTTAGCAGCGCCGCTGTACTGTAACTAATCGTTTTCTGAATCGATTCTCAGGGTTGTGTGTGTGCAGCGAGGTGGGGCCACATCTCTGCAGCTGCTGCAGCCTCCGGGAATTAGGCACACCAGGGAAGTGCCGAGGGACAAAGGAGAGGGTTGGGGTGGGGCGGAGGGACAAGGGAGGAGCAAGTGTTTTTAAAAAGAGAGGCCAAAGAGATTCTTCATCCTACAGAGAATGAAAAGATGAGAGCCATCCTGGCTTGCCTTGCCATGGTGGCATGGGCAGGGAGGGACCGGAGCCCGAGAGCCTTGATGATAAGGACAGGCTTAGTGGGCAGGGATGCCCACCCAGCCAGACTGGCCTCCAGGGCTGGGACATGAGTTCAGTGTCCATCTGAGTCAGGACACCAGGCCAGACAGCCCAGGGTTCTGAGATGGGGCATCCACAGATGGCAAGGCTGACCTCTCCGGTGCCTTCCTGGGATGGAGACATGGGTAAAGGGAAGACTGCTATCCACCCACCTGTTTTATGAACACAAAAGACACAGGTCCAGGAAATTCCCAGACTCCCTCGTGCACATAAAAGGACCTCAGGCATCTCTGGAGTTCATGCACTTGAGATTTTATTGGCCTAATAAACTATGTTGCCACTCTGGAGTCTTCCTTGGGCCAAGCCCACGCACACATGGTGTGGTAGCACACAGCTGTGGTCTCCTCGTGGAGGAGGGAACCGTAGGAGGAGGGAATCGTAGCAGCGGGAGAGAGCAGGGACAGGGAGCTGAGGCAGAGCCTCAGGGATACATAGAGGCTCTCTCTGCAATGTGGTTCGTTAACTTTTATGGTGACCCTCAGGGAAACTGAGGCACAGAGAACTGGAGGATCCTGCCCTAGAACACACAACTTACCCAGTGGCAGGGCATGAACCCAAGCCCAGGGCATCTGGCTTGAGAGCTCAGCTTGCAATGGTCACGCTGTCCTCGGTCTTCTTAGCCTTAGCCAGTTGGTGACTTAGTTTCCCTCTCTGTCATATGAGCTCTAACAGCTGCCTCCCTTCCTTTCAATACTTCTTGAGTTCTTGCATAGCCCCAGTGGGGCAGGAATCATCAGGAAGTGGGGCGGCAGGGCCTGGGCAGGTGGCGCCAGTCCCAGGGGCCTGCTGAGCAAATAGCCAGAGGTGGGACAGGAGCATCTACAATCAACCCAAGCACAGACCCCACTGCAGAGGGTTAGTCCAGTGCACACTCACCACACTTCACTCCTTTACACACTTGTGCATCCCGCCATCCTGCCCTGAGCATGTTTACCCCAGCTCTCCCCATCTAGGTCCTCAGCCCAGCGCCTCAGGCAGAGCCACGGGGGCCAGTCCAGGGCTGGCCTGCCTTGGTGTGAGGGAGGGGTCAGAGAGCCCCTAAAATTCCCAAAGGGCCCAGGAGCACTCTGGAGACTGAGAGGAGAGGACAAGGCTGGTGGGGTCCTTTCTCTTGGTATGCAGTACCCAGGAGGTCCGGCCAGGGTCTGCTGTCTGCATTGCTTCCCAGAACTCTTGGAAACTTTGGCTCCAGCCTGTCCCCAGCAGCATTGCCACCCACCTGGGGCAGAAGGCTTGCTCCCAAGTTCAGAAGCCCACCAGATCTTCTCCAGTCTCAGGGCTCCCCATATCCTCCGCCTCCAGGAGCTCCTGTGTAGCTAAATGGAAGTCCAATTGTCCTAGTATCCATGGGGAATGGTTCTAGGACCCCCCCTCCAAAGATACCCAAATCTGCAAATGCTCAAGTCCGGAATATAAAATGGTGTGATATTTGCACGTAGCCCTTGCACATTCTCCCATACGCTCAAAATCATCTCTCGATTACGCAAAATACCAAGTACAATGTTAATGGTATGTAAATAGCTGCCATACTGTATTGTTTAGGAGATAATGACAAGAAAAAAAAGCATGAATGTGTTCAGCACAGAAGCTGTTGTTTTTCTGAATATTGGTTGAATCTGCAGATGAGTAACCCACAGTTATGGAGGGCCATTGTATTTTCCAGCTTGGAGAAGATCTGCCTCCTCTCCCAGGAGTGCTGTGAGAGTCTGCAGTCCTGAGCCTGGGGACCTGAAGCTGGGTACCCTGGGAGGACAGTGAGGGTCCCAGTCCCTACACAGACAGTTGAGCCACATTGTCCCAATCCCTTGTGAAGGTGCCATAGGCAATGGGGCCTAACAAGAAAGCCAAAAGTTTGTGAATGGCCCAGGAGCAGGCTGCTTTTCTGAGTAGGTGGGAGGAGGTAGAGTAAGGGGCAACATAATCCCAAGCCTGCTGACACACAGGGAAGAGGCAAAGAACCAGGCAGTCCTAGCCTCCCCGAGATGCCATGTCCGGCTCTCATGGGAGAAAGATGGGAAAGATGGAGGATGGGATGAGACAGGATGAACACCGACACCTGGGGAACAGGACAGTCCAGGTGCTTTGGAGAGCCATGGGCAGGACCTGGAACATTCTGACACCCAACCGCTCCTTGCCAGGGGCACACTTGCTCCAAAGGAGACTGGCGCCAAGACCACCCCTGAGCCATTCTCCCAACAGCCGCACAATGCAAACAACCGGCAGGCTTGGCAGTGGAAGCTTGGAGAGGAGACAGGGTGGATTCCTAAGACAAATTTCCATACAGCAGCTGATCAAAGGCAGTGATCAGAAACACCCACTCACCCAGGCAAGCCCCCAAGTCATAAACTGAATGCAAGAAGCACGTCACAGAAGAGATCACGCAAGTGTGTGTGCACTTGAAAGACACATGGTGCAGTGTCATCTGTCATTCTTGGTTATGTGTGTAGAGACATGTTTTTTTTAAAGGGACAAAATTAATAGACACCAAATGATAATCAGGGCTGCTCCCAGATGTGGGGGAGGGGAACCAGGCTGGTGTCCTCAGAGGGGACTATAGCTTATTTGATCC